TGGCCCTGCAAAGCTGTTCTTTGTGAGGGAAATTTTGCATCTATAAAGAATCTCTATTCACATAGCTAGATCTTTTCCTTCCAGACCCTCCCAATCCTAAAGAGATTCACTAAGATCTGAATAGGAAACATTTATTATCTATTGTCTCTAAGGGCAGCCACTATAAGACTTCAAAAGAACTTTGGACTCCAATCGTTTATCTTAAGCTGAACATTCCCTTTCTATCAATCCCAGGTCTTTAGACATACACAACCAATCGTCAACCAGAAAATGTTTAAATTCACCTATAGTCTGGAAGCTCCCTCACTTTGAGTTCATGTTCTGCCTTTCTAGACCAAACCAATGTATTTCTTAAACGTGTTTGACTGACATCATGCCCCTCTAAAATGTATACAACCAAGCTGTGCCCTGACCACCCTGGGCACATGCTCTCAGGACCTCCTGAAGGATGTATCATAGGCCACAGTCACTCATATTTGGCTCAGAATAAATCTCTTCAAATATTTTACAGAGTTTGACTCTTTTTCACTGACTGTGTCCTTATAAGAAGAGAAGACACAGGGAGAGACAGGGGAGGTCATGTGAAGAGGGACACAGAGGCTAGAGTGATGCGGCCACAAGCTTGGGAAGCCTGGAGCCACCAGAAGCTGGCAGAGGTCAGGGACAGACTCTTCCCACTGACAACTTGACTTTGGACTTCTGTCCTCCAGAACCATGAGATAATAACATTCTGTTGTTCTGAGTCTGTAATGACTCATTACAGCATCCCAGGGAACCCAGTACAAACCCCCAGGCCCAAAGCGTCAAATCAGCAAAGGGAAATCCAGAAAAAAGGCCACAGGCTCTAAGGAAGGCAGTGGAGACGGGGTCGGCCACGTGGTAGAGCCCTGAGCCTGTGATGCTTTCCTGCATCTCAGAGACTCGCGGCTATAACTCTCCAATCGGAAGAGGAGCGATCCCATCTGTGTCCCGGCCACCCACAAAGGCAGCTCTGCCTGCTGGCGGCACAGTCACAGTTCACATTTGTAGTTCCCTTTTTCTCACCCTGGGGCCGGCACTCACCCTGACTATGCCCCAATCAGCAGGAAGAAGTTACAGCCGTCTTCACCCTTTTTCCATCTTCATTAGCCAACACCTTAAGATTAAGGTGTTAAAAACCCAAAGGATTGAAACTGCCATTGCAAAATTATAACTGAGACAGTGAAAGAGACCTGACCTAACCAACTCCATCTTGCTTCTAACCTTCAAGCTGTCCTTGTTCATTCCTGGGCATCAGCTGAACTAACTGTCGGAGGAACTTAGTTTATAGTTTATAGTTTACAGTTTGAAACAAAGATGATAACAGCCCTTTCCCCCAAACGAACTCCCTTCTTGTCTGGGGACTAGACTGCCTTTGTAGAACTAACAAATCAGCCCCAAGATTAGAAATTATGGTTTAGGAGTCACGCAGCTGGAGGCTCTAAGATTCTGGCCCACCCCAAACTGTTCCTGGGGATAAATCACTATTGTAAAATCTAAGCCCAGTGCTTGAGGTGTTCCACAGGCCCTGCACTTGATGGGTCAGCTGGCACCATCCAGATCAATAAATGGGTTCATGTGTTCTCGTGGCCCCTTACCTAGGAACTGACTCAGTGTGAAAAAACAGCTTTGACGTCCTATGATTTTAATTCTGACCTTACCAATCAGCACTCCCAGCTCACTGGCTTCCCCTCATCCACCAAATTGTCCTTAAAAATTCTAATCCCTGAATGCTAGGGAAGACTGATTTGAGTATGTAACTCCTATCTATTATATTTGAGTGATATAACTCCTGTCTCTCACAAAAATATATATATTTTAATTATATATACATACACACACACAGACATATATATATATATATATATATGGACACACATATATATGTTTTCTTTTTTAAATAGAGATGGAGTCTTGCTATGTTTCCCAGGCTGGTCTTGAACTCCTGGGCTCAAATAATCCTCCCACCTCAGCCTCCCAAAGTGCTGGGATTACAGGCGTGAGCCACTGCACCTGCCCACACTTGTAGTCTTTGATGTGACAGGCACTGTCCTTCGTGTCTCACAGTGAATAAATGAATAAATGAATTAATGAATTAATGGACATGCACTATTTCTTTTTAGTCTCATCAGAATCACAGGAGGTAGGAGCTATTATTACCTCATTGTATGGCCAGGAAAGGAAAGCTCCGCTCTGACGGATACAGTGACTTGCTCAAGGTTACACGTTGGTTAGAGGCCACGCTAGGGCCAGCCCTAGGTTGTTGGTCTCCCAGGCAGGGAGTGTCCCACCACACTATCCAGGCTACTGTCAGCAAATCAGGAGTCAGTGACGGAACAGGGGACTAGAACCCACAGACACATTCAGAATGGCCACCAAGAGACAAGTACATCCCAGGTCCAGTCTCCTCCATGAATCCAGGAGAGCAGGGAGGGAAGGGATGAGGGATGGGGAGGGAATCAGAAATTCAGGAATTTAGCAGCATCCACCAAAAAGGATGTCGTGCATAACTTGGGACATAACCCAAAGGGAAAGCACGTCTAGAGCACTGGGTGGTCTTCACCATTAGGCAAATAAGAGACACTAAGCTTTGCATCCTTCCGAGGGAGGTGATGCGTGCCTAGAAGGGCCGGCCATACTCAGCCTCTGTGGAAACAAGCCCGGAGCCCCCGCGTGGTACTGGTTCCTCCTGCATGCCTTTGTGTTTAGTTACACTTTTCCCTGCACATTTTAGAAAAAGAAATAATGCACAGCATTGAGATTTTGCCCTCCCTTCTGGCTGCAACTCTGGAGGCCCATCAGCTGGCATGAAGCCAGATCACAGGCTTAGGAGGGGCTCTCTGTGGGAGGCAATTGCCCCTCCTCAGCCACAGATTTTATGAGGTCGCTGGAAGGAGAAGGTGGGATATGGGTCCTTCTGGAGTTGTTCATTCCTGGGGAGGAAGTAGGGTAGCGGATGGGCTCCATGGAGAGGGAGAGTAAGAGCCCAGACCTGTGACCTCAGGGTCATAGCCAAGGCAGAATCCCAGGATGGCTGGGCTGGCTCTCCCTGCTTAGGAGGCCGTGGGCAACAAAGGCTTCTAGACGTTCCCCAGGGGCAGTCAAGGAGCAGTGCTAAGATTCACCTGGGGCAGGATCACAAACACCTGGGGCGGAACCAGGCTGGACATTGGCAGGACAGGGCTCACCAAGGGCAGGAGCAGGACTCACCCAGGAACCGTACCAGGACTCATAAGGGCAGAACCAGGGCTCACCAGAGGGAAGAGCAGGGCTCACCAGAGGCAGGAGCAGGGCTCACCAGGGGGAAGAGTCAGGAGCAGGACTCACACAGGAGCAAAACCAGGGCTCTCCAGGGGCAGGACCAGGGCTCACCAGGGGCAGGACCAGGGCTCTCCTGAGGTGGGACCAGGCCTCTCCTGGGGTGGGACCAGGGTCAGACCAGGGTTCTCCTGGGGTGGGACCAGGCCTCTCCTGGGGTGGGACCAGGGTCAGACCAGGGCTCTCCTGGGGTGGGACCAGGGCTCTCCTCGGGTGGGACCACAGCTCTCCAAGGGCAGGCGACACCCTGTGTGTTGGTGTCTGCCCTGAGTTCACAGAGCTCACCTTAGGAGGCTGTCAGAGGGGAAATCTCTGAAGCAGGATGGCAGCACCATCTTTGCATGTATGTATATATGTAGGTATGTATATGTATGTGTGTATGTATATGTGTATGTATATGTATGTATGTGTATGTATGTATATGTATGTATGTATGTATATATGTGTATGTATGTATATGTATATATCTATATCACTCTCACTCTCTCCCTTACTCACCCTCTCCCCCTCCTCTCTTGTCTCTTTTCTCGTCTTTCTTCCTCCCTCCCCTCTCTTCCTCTTTTCTCTCTTTTTCTCTCTCCCTGTCATTCACAGAGGCTTTTATTCCTGTGTGAACCATGTCTTCCGACAGCTAAAGGAGTTTGATCCAAATGAGCATTTTTTGCAGACTCAGGCCAACTGGCCAAACCCAGACAACTTCAGTTTAGGGAAGGTTTCAGGATAGCAACTCAAGAAAACACAACCAGGAGAGACACAGGTCCACACAGCCTTCAGCATGGGAACCTCTCTCCAGCACCCTCTTAGCCACAGCCCTTCCTCCTGGGGTGGCAGGCACAGGGGCTGGAGCCCCAGGAATGGGGGTGCCACCTTGTGAGGAGACTTGCCAGGCCAGGAGTGCTTTGAGGGTGGGACAGTGAGACGTTTCAGAATGTGAAAGCCCACCAAAGGGGCCAGCTAAGGTCCAAGATCTCCAGAATATAGTCGCAGGTCTGGAAGCTGACGTCAAGGGCAGGAAGGCCTGGGGAACCTGCAGGCAGCAGGAAACACCGGTCAGCTTTCCTTCCTCCCACTGCTAAGATAAATGTGGAAATGCATAATACAGTTATATATTTATCCAGGTGAAGAGGTTGGTCAATAATAACAAAAATCTTGCCACCTCCATTTGTTAGGAGCTTTGTGTTGCTATATTTCAGGGAAGAATTTCTAAGACCCTCTGTAAACTGGAGGGAGGTGGGGAGGTTTCGCTTCCAGGAAATCAAGGACTTCCTGCTCTGAAATCACAGAAGAATGTCCTCAGCGTTGGGTGGACAGATCTGGTTTTCTGTAATGTCTACAAAATTCCACATCCCAAATTCAACTTTAAGCCCCTCTGTGTGTCTTTCCTCTGTGGGGGAAGTGTGTATAAACACCACTAAGAAATAAGATCGTGGCCACAGCAGCAGGCTCTAAAGAGAGGAAGCTGAGTGCCAGGAGACCCACCCTCAACCCACTGAGCTTGACGGCCAGCGACCATTGCTTATAAGGACAAGCGTGGGAAAGCTAGCCTACTCTAATTAGGCAACCTGGGAAAACTGATTGTGTTCTTTTACAGTTCTCCACATAATTACATCAACATTTCAATTAGCTTTCCTAGAGACCGCACCCTCTTTTATGGGTTTCTTTGTACCTAAAGTCATTGCTTAGGAGTCACAGAGCATCCTTCATTCCAAACCCTGCTTTGATTGCCGGCTCTGAGCCACGTGTCCCGGTGATGAGGTTATGGACCTAAGGACACCCCCGTGGAAATTTAGGAAGCAATCAGCACCCTGGGGAGCTCAGCACACAGGAAAGAGGAGATTCGGATTTGGTTTATAAGGAGATGTAACCACTTTAAACGGTCCCTAAACACACAATCGTCCTCTTCCCAAAGCCAGTGAGAAAGCTGATTTTGCCAAATGCCACCCTTCTGAGCTAAGGTGGCCATTGATATTTTCATGCCAAAATGGAGATTGAAGCCTTTGTCTTAGCAATTCAGTTCAATCCTGTTTAATACATAACCGTGGCAGCCATCGCTTCTGGGTGCAAACACTTCAGTAGTGAACAAAATAGACAAAAATATTTTTCTTCTAGAGTTACAGTCTGTTCAGGGAGATAATAAACAGACTAAACAGGTAAAACACAGGGTATATTTTGATAGTACTCAGTTTCAAGGAGAAGAGTAAAGCAGGCTGGGATAGCAATGTGAGGGTAAGTAGTGAAAACGTTAGATCACTTGGCTGTGGAAGCCCTCAATGAGAGGAAGCCGTTTCAATAAAACCTGAAAGAGCAAATCAAGCGAATATCTGGGGGAGGAGCATCCAGGCAGAGGCGACAGCAGAGGAAACATGTATGTTAAAGACTGGCCAAGACATCTGGAAATTGAGGAGCACAAGGGGGATACCAGGACATAATATAAAGCTAAGTAAGGAAGATCTGTGGCATTGGCGCAGGAATAGAAAATGAACAGTTCACTGAGCTCTACGTTTATGATTTGTGAATTTTTATGAATGTAATATCTAACTCCATTTTAAACTTTTTACTTAAAAAAAAGACAAGATACAGATGGGAGAAGATATTTGCAAAGTATGTAACTGAAAATGGGGATTCCTATCTGGAATATATAAGGAAACCCTGAGAATCAATAAGGAAAACAAATCCAACTGAAAAATAAAAGGGGCCAGGCATGGTGGCTCATGCCTGTAATCTCAGTGCTTTGGGAGGCCCACAGTGGGAGGATCCCTTGAGCTCAGGAGTTCAGGACCAGCGTGAGCAGCATGGCAACCCCTGTCTCTATAGAAAACTAGCCAGCCATGGTGGCATGCACCTGTAGTTCCAGCTACTTGGGAGGCTGAGGAGGTAGGATTGCTTGAACCCAAGAGGCAGAGGTTACAGTGAGCCGTGATCCTGCCACTGCACTCCAGCCTGAATGACAGTGCAAGACTCTGTCTCAAAAATGAAAATAAAAGGCAAAAGATATAAACAGACCATTCACAAGAGAAAAAAAATACAAGGCCAAGAAACATGAAAAGATGTTCAATATAGCATCTAAATAAGAAACTACAAATCAAAACAGTATGAGATGTCATTTCGTAACATTTCCATTTCCATCAAATGGAAAATATTGAGAAGACTAACAATGTTTGCTTTTTTTTTTTGCAGAGTCTCCCTCTGTTGCCCAGGCTGGAGTGCCGTGGCGTGATCTCACTGCAACCCACCTCCTGAGTTCAAGCGATTCTCCCGCCTCAGCCACCTGAGTAGCTGGGATTATCGAAATGGCATCCTCTCATTGAGGGCTTCCACAGCCTGATTTTTGTATTTTTAGTAGAGAGAGGGTTTCACAATGTTGGCCAGGTTGGTCTCGAACTCCTGACCTCAGATGAACCGCCCACCTCTGCCTCCTAAAGTGCTGGGATTACAAGCGTGAGCCACCCCGCCCAGCCAAGACTAACAATCTTAACATAGGTGCAAATATAGAGCACAATGACTTCCTACACCTGGAGATCTGAAGGGTAATTTTGGTACACCACCTCTGGAAGAAAACATTTGCTCTTTGATCCAGCAGTTCCACATGTAAAAAAATAATAAAGAAACTTTCACAGAAGTTCCATAGGAAAAATGGCACAAGAAAATTCATTGCATTACTTGTTTGTAATAGAAAAAATACAGCATGTTATCAATTTAAAAAATTTTGAAAACATGCAAAAAGATGGATTCACACATGGGATGTTAGTGGAACTTTTGAATGCCATTCAAGGTAGACACAAAGTTGAAGCTGATGGTTACCTCTGGGTGAAAGACAGGGAAGAGAAAGGGTCATAGAAGGGTGTTCTGGGAGCTTTGTCGTTATGTGTATTGTTTTGGTTTTTGTTTTGTTTTGTTTTTGAGACAGAGTCTCACAGAGGCACAATCTCGGCTCACTGCAACCTCTGCCTCCCAGGCTCAAGCGATTCTCCTGCCTCAGCCTACTGAGTAGCTGGGACTACAGGTGCCCGCCACCACACTTGCCTAATTTTTGTATTTTTAGTAGAGACGGGGGTTTCACCACATTGACCAGGCTGGTCTCAAACTCCTGACCTTGTGATCCACCCACCTCGACCTCCCAAAGTGCTGGGATTACAGGCATGAGCCACCACACCCGGCCTGTTTTGCTTCTTAACAAAACAGAAAGCAAGTGTGACAAAATGTCAGCACTCAAGAGAGCTGGGTGGGGAATGCGCTGTGTGTTATAAACTTTTCTGTGTCTGAAATATTTTATAGTTTAGAGAAACCATTCAAAGGTGTGTCTCTTAATCTCATGGCTTTCTTTCTCATGTGACTCTCACCAGCCCCACCCCCATTGCCAGCGGACATTACACTGTCATTCTCACCCTTGTGTCATATGTGCCCAGGCCTTTGGAAATGGAGAGAATGGGGTGAGCTGACACAGTTCTCCAGGCTCTGCCCAGCAGAAGACATTATGTCTTCTCATCTCTTTTTGAAATGGGCTACCTCCCACTGACCACTAGGTGGGACACCAGCTTGCCAGTTGCCCAATAAATGCAATGTCTATAGAATTCTTCAAACAGCCTCTGTGTCTGGAGAGGGTCCCATGCTCAGAGGCTGTCCATGGACCGGCCTGCTGATGTGCTTCCCGAGTCTAGAAGCAGTACCTCTTGGAGCTCCTGCTGAGGACGCCAATTTGGGAGTGCAGTGAGTCATGTGCTTCTAATTTACATAAATGTAAACAGAGATTCAATGAACTGGAATTTTCTTTGGTTCGTAATTGTTTTTGTTTTTTTTTTTTTTCTGCCTAACTATGGGTTGGGAGAAGGAAGAAAAGAAATGGAAAATAACATTTATTTGGGGTCTGTTATGGGCCAGAAAGCAAATTACAGCTTTATCTCATGTAACCCTCATGACCATCCTTCGAGAGGGGCCTCATTTCCCAGTTACAAATGAGGAAGCAAGGGCTCAGACATGTCAGCCGCCTCGCCCAACGTCCAAGAGCGAGCAGCAGACAAAGGTTTGAACTATCTCTTTCTGCCAATGAAGTCTGGTTTCCACCATGCTCCCTGTCCAGAAAACCTTTGGTGTAAAACTCAGAGAAAGAGAAAAAAAAAAATGTAGTATAATTTAAACATTGTTAGATACAGCCATAATATAAATGGATAAGAAAACAGATAAAAGACCAATCACTTCTGGTCTTGGTCGTGACTGTGCCAAAATAACTAAAATAAAAACCACTCTACCTTATTCTTCACACAAAACATGTTTTTAAAGAAGTAGATCTAGGAAGCTATTCTTAGATATCAAGAGTGAAACAAGGGTCCTGGTGCAGTCATTCTAGTAGGGTTTGATGGACTAGGAAGAGATCCTGGGTCTCGTGAGCAGTGTGTGTGTGTGTGTGTGTGTGTGTGTGTGTGTGTGAGAGAGAGAGAGAGAGAGAGAGAGAATTCATTTGCTGGGGTTGTCCTAACAAAATATCACAGACTGGGTGGCATAAACAACAGACATTTATTTTCTCACAGTTCTGAAGGCTGGAAGTCCAAGACCACGGTGCCTGTAGTGTGGGTTTCATTCTGAAGCTCCTCTCTTGGCTTGCAGATGGCGTCTTCTCCTGTGTCTACACGGGGTCTTTCTTTTGTGCCTATTTGTGTCCTAATCTCCTCTCCTTACAAGGATGCAGGTCAGTTTAAATTAGAACCCATCCCTGTGACCTCATTAACCTCAGTCACCCCTTTAAAGGCCCTATCTCCCAATCCAGTCACATTCTGAGGTACTGGGGGTTAGGACTTCAGCAGATGACTTTTAGGGGACACAATTCAGCCCTTGACAGAGAAAATTCAAGGTGTCGAGGAACCAGACCAGGGTTTTAGGGGTCTTTGCAAACAGCCATAGATGTTGAATGACTTTGTCCACCAAGTTGGGAGAGAACCATCCTTTTCAGAAACATCTCAGTTGACTGGCACCAGAGGTGGATAATCAGTAAACTTGTTTTATTCTATAGTCTTTGAACATAATTATGACAAGGATTCTGGGGAGATTATGGGGAATACTATTTTAATCTCCTCAAATTTCCCCATAAAAACAGACTGAATAACTAGCATATCAAAATCAAAGACTTTGTACCTCTACAACAAAATCAGTGACCAGGAATCCCAAAGAATCTCACAGTGAGAGTGTGTGGCACAAACACGAACAGCTGCAGGACCCACGTGGCATGAGGATCTGTGTAGGTGAAACAGCTGTCAAGTTGGAGAAGTCACCTGGGATCCCAACAGTCCAGAGGACAGGAAAACACAGCACTGCTGACCTGTGTTCACTGAAAGCATAGAGTTCCGACCCGAGAGTGGCAGGCTGGGGAACGGCCCTACCGGTCCAGCTCCTGGTGGGTGGAGGAGACCACAATACTATTCTGACCACAGTGAAGCAGTCTATAGGTCTTCAAAGCCAGCAAACAAAATGTTCGGACAAGAGAAATGAGTCCGAGAAAAATAAGGAATGGGATCAGGATGTCAGATCTCAGAAAATACAAGCAAGTATTTTTGAAATCATTTTGCAAAAACAACAGAAGAGGGAATGTAGACCCGTGGAGTCTGGAAACCTATCTCAACCTATACCTCGTCCTATGAACAAAGACAAACTCATTTCACTTCTTTATTATTGCTTAAAAAGGCAATAAAATGGATGCTAGCAAAATCTAATATAAAGCTATCATAAGAGAAAGCTGAATAATAACACAATATTGGCCCTACAATTAAAATACAACAGAGAGGTATACAGGCAATGAAGACGAAAACGTAACCTAATATTTGAAATGAGGTAAAAAGAATTGAGAGCATGAGAGATGTCATTAAAGCATCTCAAAGCATCATTTAAGGCATAATTAGAAATACCAAGAAATATAAGATTAGAAAGACAGATGAAGATGACAAGACACAAAACAGAATTCGAAGTACAAAGGAAATTTTTCAGAAATAAAAACTAAATTCGAAGGGACATGAGAGCCAGTAAACAAAACCAATAATGCCTTAAAAGAAATGTAAAATGTAAAAAATGAAAAAAAAAAAAGGAGATTTTACAAAATTAAAATGATATTAAGTGTTTCAACTTCTGGTTAGGATGTGAAAGATCACAAACACCAGCACTTCAGCAGAGCAAGGATAAAGCACCGGTGAGCTATTAAATCGTCTTTTTCTTTAAAACCTACAGATTTGAAGTCCAAATAAACTACATTCCAGAGATGGAGGAGCCCGTGTCGGGTGAGCAAACCAGGGGTCCATTCCTGTGGTGTTTCAAGCATGGGGTCGTTCATGGACAGAAAATCAAGTTTTCTACAGGTAAAGAAAATCTGAGAGAATACGGAGAAACGAACTGGAAATTTTTTTTTTTTTGAGATGGAGTTTCGCTCTTGTTACCCAGGCTGTAGTGCAATGGCGCGATCTCGGCTCACCGCAACCTCCACCTCCTGGGTTCAGGAAATTCTCCTGCCTCAGCCTCCTGAGTAGCTGGGATTACAGGCACGCACCACCATGCCCAGCTAATTTTTTGTATTTTTAGTGGAGACAGGGTTTCACCATGTTTACCAGGATGGTCTCGATCTCCTGACCTTGTGATCCACCCCCCTCAGCCTCCCAAAGTGCTGGGATTACAGGCTTGAGCCACTGCACCCAGCCTCTGAACTGGAAATTTAACAGCTGGTATTAGACTTGAACATGGAAGAATCCCAAATACAGCACTGGACATCTCTGTCTGTCTTCCAACTCTCTCCCATAGTAATTTATTGAATAAACGGTGTCCAAGAAGTCAGGAGATGACACAGAAAAGCAGAGGGCAATGCTGCGGTGTCATGGTGCTTAGATTTCACAGCCCTGCTGGAGAGAGGGTGATCTCACACTCAAGATATTTGAAACCAGAGGTGAACTAAATTAACTGGAGTGGCAACCTCAACTCTAACTCAGTTCTTTAATTATCAGATTGAAGAGATAAGATCCTAATCCAAGATACCTGCCACACAAAGGGCAAGCCCTTCCTAGAAAAATTAGTATTTCTTTCAGTCTCCATTGCTATGCTACACATAAACTGCAGCATTTAATAAAAAAAACTACAAGCCAGCCAGCCATGGTGGCTCACACGTGTAATCCCAGCACTCTGGGAGGCCAAGACAGGCAGATCACAACGTCGAGAGATCAAGACCATCTGGCCAGCATGATGAACCCTGTCTCTACTAAAAATACAAAAATTAGCTGGGCATGGTTGCTCACGCCTGTAGTCCCAGCTACTTAGGAGGCTGAGGCAGGAGAATCAGTTGAATCCGAGAGGAGGAGGTTGCAGTGAGCCGAGATCAAATCAGTTGACCATACGTATGGTCAGCCCTCCTATCCACATTCCTGCATTGCGATTTTCAGTCCACGATTGGTTGAATCCCCAGATACTGGGAGTCAGCTATTGGACTTGGAGCATCTACAGATTTTGGTAGCCCCAGGGGTCCTGGAACCCATCCCTTACAGATACCAAAGGACAACTGTATGTTCAAAGAATTAAAGCCAGATCTAAAGAAATAAAGGAAAGTATGAGACCCATGTCTCACCAAATACAGAATATGAATAAAGAGATGGAAATTAAGAAATTATTAAAATATATCAGCCACAAAATTGTCTAAATGAGACCAGGCAAGGTGACTCATGCCTGTAATCCCAGCACTTTGGGAGGCTGCGTCAGGCAGATCACTTGAGCCCAGGAGTTCAAGACCAGTCTGGGCAATATGGGGAAACCCTGTGTCTACAACAACTACAAAAAAATAAGCCCCGTGTGGTGGTGTGTGCCTGTAATCCCAGTTACTAAGGAGGCTGAGGTGGGAGGACTGCTTGAGGCCAGAGGTCAAGTGTGCAGTGAGTTATGATCGTGCCACCAAACTCCAGCCTGGCTGACAGAACAAGACCCTCTATCCAAAAAAAAAAAAGGTCTGAATGCTTTCATCCAGTAAACTCACTCCTGGGAGATTAAGCAAATAATTCAAGAGAAGAGGCCGGGCACGGTGGCTCACACCTGGAATCCTAGCACTTTGGGAGGCTGAGGCGGGCAGATTGCCTGAGCTCAGGAGTTCGAGATGAGCCTGAGCAACATGGTGAAACCCCGTCTCTACTAAAATACAAAAAATTGGCCAGGCGTGGTGACATGTACCTGTAGTGTCAGCTACTCGGGAGGCTGAGGCAGGAAAATCACTTGAACCCGGGAGGTGGTAGTTGCAGTGAGCCAAGATCACACCACTGCACTCTAGCCTGGCTGACAGAGAGAGACTTCATCTCCAAAAAAAAAAAGAGAGAGAAGAGAAAAGTTATATGAATGCAAATGTTTACTGCCATAGAATTGTGTTTGTCAAACTTCATTTTACTAAGGGCATAGGGAAGGATCATAAGGAAAGAATCAGCAAATCGGCATAGGGAGTCGGGTTTTTAGGAAAGGTTCCTCAGAAGAGAACCACATTTGAACGGAATCTTAAAGGAAGTGGCAAATTTGGTTTAGCAGAAGGAAGACACCAGCCAAAGTCCCAGGAAGAAGAATGGGTCCTCACAAATGAAACCTGAAGGGCACAGTCACCTGAATCCATGGGATCCTCAGGGCGATACAGTTAGGAGCCCAGGGCCACACTGGTGGGAAGGTGAGGAGGGTGGTCAAGAAACTCAGCCGAAATTCGGTATAAACACAACTGAGCTCTTCTCAGTAAACGCTGCAAAACCTCTAAATACTATAAAGGTGAGGTTGGCATCTCACAGAAACTGTTTTAAAATACTTGTGAATGTGCAAAATATCTGAGACTTGCTCTTCCAGATCAGAAAAGTTATTCTGCAGCTCCTGGCAGATACTGTCAAACAGACGCCCACGGACTCTCCAACAGAACCAGCTGGGATCGGCAAGGGCAGGACCTCTCTGTCTGGCGAACACTTCCACGCCTATTAAGGATCCTGTGTCAGATCGTTCCGGAGCTGTCAGTGTGTCTGCAACTCTGTCAGAAAAGATTTGAGAGTAATTTCAACAGGAAGAACAAGAAGTAATTCCTCTACACGTGAAAAGTCCTCAGACAGGAAAACTCTTCAGGCAAAAATACTTGAGAACATGACAGTAACGACAATGTTGACAAGTCTCAGGACATGAATTGATCAAAGGACATTTACAGGGTCTCTCTTAAGTGATGGGCAAGTTATTTAGGCACATGTAATCTCAGTGGCAGTCATGGGAAATTGTAAGCACCAACTTGCTTGTTTGGCAAACCTTTATGGAGACCTGTGTCACATCAGGCACACACAGCTTTGGTCCCAAGGCCTTCATGGAGCCCACAAAATCACGGTCTCTGTGCCCGGCATGTGCTAGAGACAGAAAAGCAGCACAGCTCCAAAATCCCTCATCTGAAACCACTGGGGTGCTTTGTAATTTATTAAACACAGGATTTCAAAAAGCTAATATAGTGCACAGACCTCATATTTCATAGCAGCCCCATTGAGGTCTACGAGTAGCACCCTGTAGTCAAACACATTTACATTTCCAAAGCAAAACACAAATATCACACTTGTGTGATAGACAAAGACTATAAACAGCCCCAGTTCAGATCAAGTTTTTGCTACCAGGTGAGTTCGCTGCAAAGTTATGGACCTTTTCTGTTTTCAGAGCCTTCTGGATTTCAAGATTGCAGATACGAGATGGTGTATCTGCATTATGGGAAAAACTCTGCTTCCAGAGAAGTTTGAAACTACTGGAAAGAGAGAATGCATGGAAGGTACCAAACAGAGTTTGGATCACAGGATATCCAATGTTCAGATGCTCAGCCCCAGACTGCATGTGATATTTACATACCCAGGTGTGACTCATAAAGGGAAAGAACTATCTGTGATTTATGGTCATGGAGACCTCTCAGAAGTGAGGATCACAAGGAGGACAGAACCGGAACAAGCAGGGCAGTGTGGCTGCTCCCTGAGAGATGTAATTTGGAGAGAAGGTCAGGATCTGTTCAGGAAAGAGACAGGGCAGAGAGAGTGAGCAGACTGTTAGTCCTGCGAGAAAATTCAAGCGGGGCTGGAAGCAAGTTTTTATGCAGTTTTGCCATAGAGTTTGCAATGTCAAGGCTTTCCTGACTCAAGTCTTTTAGTAGTCGTTTTAGCTAATCCTCAATTTGGTCTGGTCTGAAAAGAATTTCGACCATCTGGCATTGGTTTTATTTTATTTCTTTTTTTTTTTTTTTTTTTTTTAATTGAGACAGAGTCTCACTCTGTCACCCAAGCTGGAGCGCAGTGGCATGATCTCAGCTCACTGCAACCTTTGTCTCCTGCGTTCAAGCAATTCTCCTGCCTCAGCCTCCCCAGTAGCTGGGATTACAGAACGATGGGATTCCATCATCCCCTGAGTGCAGCACTGCCTTTGAAATATCCCATGTTAAAGGGGTGGATGGACTAAGCAAGACTGAGGAATTCCTGTGTCCATTAGCAGTGCTTTTCAGCCTGTGAAATATCACCTGGAAATAAAATTTACACCTGAGTTTTAAAAAAAAAAAAAAACTGGAACAGGTAATGCCTTAGATGTTAGCTAGGTGGAAGGAAAACTAAACAGAGGGTTTCATAAAGTCTATCAATGATGCTCCTTGCAAACAAGTGAGTGAGGTCTGGGGGCACAGCCCAGACGATTCTCCTGGGGGCACAGCCCAGACCACGATCTAAGGTCTTCAGGGCTGCAGAGCACTGGAGAGACTGCAGTGCCCATCCATAGGTACTTCAAATAAAAATAATAATAAATCATACATGTCAGGAAAATCCAACAAAATTCAGATTTTTTTCTAATGACGACTTTCAATTTGAATATCAAATTCTGATTTTTAAGAAAACGTTTTTTTTTTTTTTTTTTTTTTTTTGAGATGGAGTTTTGCTTTTGTTACCCAGGCTGGAGTGCAATGGCACAATCTCGGCTCACCGCAACCTCAGCCTCCTGGGATCAGGCAATTCTCCTGCCTCAGCCTCCTGAGTAGCTGGGATTACAGGCGTGTGCCACCATGCCCAGCTAATTTTTTGTATTTTTAGTAGAGACGGGGTTTCACCAGGTTGACCAGGATGGTCTTGATCTCTTGACCTCGTGATCCACCCGCCTCGGCCTCCCAAAGTGCTGGGATTACAGGCTTGAGCCACGCGCCTTAGCTCAGTTGGTGAGCTCCCCAAGGCCACGTTTTGTTTTTTAATTGCCATATTGTCATTGTAAATGTTTGTGGGATACCATCTCGTGTTTTAATATAAATCCATGTTGCATGGTACTTAGTGCATCTAATACCTCAAGCATTTATCATTTCTTCGTGGTGAGAATATTAAAAACTTCTAGCTATTTTGTAATATGTGATATTTTTCTGTTAACCATAGCCACCCTATTGTGCAGTAAATCCCCAGAACATTGTCCCCCTAACTGTAACATGGTACCTGCTGACCAACCTCTCCCCACCCTCCCTTCCTCATCCCCTCCCCAGCCCTTGGTAACCACCTCTCTACTCTCTGCTTCTATGATTGCAACTTTTTTTTTTTAACGCCAAGTGAGGTCATGCAGTGTCTGTCTTCTGTGTCTGGCTTATTTCACCGAACATATTGATTCATTCCTGTTGTCCCAAATGGCAGGATTTCATTCTTTTTATGGCTGAGTAGTACTCCATCATGTATATTTACCACATATTCTTTAACCAGCTCTGAAAATTGCCTTCTCACTCCTTAGTGGTCCTGTCTTACTGGTACTGTAAGCATCTGTATCAGTCCATTCTCACACTGCTATAAAGAAATACCTGGGAGCTGAGGCACGAGAATGGGTTGAATCCAGGAGGTGGAGGTTGCAGTGAGCCAAGGTTATGCCACTGCACTCCAGCCTGGGAGCCAGACTGAGACTTCATATCAAAAAAAATGAAATTCCTAAGACTGGGTAATTCATAAAGAAAAAATGTTTAAGGCCAGGTGCAGTGGCTCATGCCTGTAATCCCAGCACCGTGGGAGGCCGAAGGTGGGTGGATCACCTGAGGTCAGGAGTTAGAGACCAGACTGGCCAACATGGTGAAACTCCATCTCTACTTTTAAAAAAAAATACAAAAATTAGCCGGCATGGTGGTGTATGACTGTAATCCCAGCTACTCTGGAGGCTGAGGCAGGAGAATCTCTTGAACCCAGGAGACGGAGGTTGCAGTGAGCTAAAACCACACCACCACTCCAGCCTGGGCTACAGAGTGAGACTCTGTCTAAGAAAAAATAAAGAAAGATAACAGATTTAATTGGCTCACAGTTCCACAGGCTGTATAGGAAGCATGGTGCTGGCTTCTGCTCAGCTTCTAGGGAGGCCTCAGGAAGCTTCGAATTGCGGCAGAGGAAGAAGGGGAAGCAGGTGCATCACATAGCCAGAGCAGGAGCAAGAAAGAATAGGGGGAGGTGCCACAGTTTTAAACAACCGGGTCACGTGAGAACTCACTAGTGACACAGCAATAAGGGGGGATGGTGCTAAATCATGAGAATCTGCTCCCATGATCCAAACACCTCCCTCCAGGCCCACCTCCAGCATTGGGGATGATATTTCAACATGAGATTTGAGTGAGGACACAGATTCAAACTGTATCAGCACACCAGGAGATACTCCAGGCTGACCCAACATGAGTCTCCCTTCATCCTTCCTTCCTGGGTCTCACCACACCCTCAAGGCCCTGCTGGGAGGCAGAAGGTGTGAGAGTCCAATCTAAAGTATCTTTTACTCCTTCTTAAACCTCAAAAGCACTCCTTTTGCCCTCCCCCCAGCACTAAACTTGTGACAAAATCTCTTCCACAAGTTCAGACTCACACAAGGCTGGAGGAAGGGTGCTCTTCAACCAGTTTCCTGAAGCAAGCACATGTAAGGAGTACCACTATCTGCGCAGAGGGCCTGTGGGAGGAGATAGAAAAAAGAGAACAAAACACTCATAAACTAGCCTGCCTCATTAGTATCACAGGAAACTACAAGCTATTAACAGTGTCTGAACAGCAGAAAAGAAAATGATCAGAAAGAATGCTGTCATTGGCCGGGGGCAGTGACTCACACCTGTAATCCAGCACTTTGGGAAGCTAAGGTGGGTGGATCGCCTGAGCTCAGAAGTTCAAGACCAACCTGGGTAACATGGTGAAACCCTGTCTCTACTAAAAGTACAAAAATTAGCTAGCCGTGGTGGCATGCATCTATAATCCCAGTTACTCAGGAGGCTGAGGCAGGAGAATCACTTTAACCTAGGAGATGGAGGTTGCAGTGAGCCAAGATCAGGCCACTGCCCTCCAGTCTGGGTGACAGAACGAGACTCCATCTCAAGAAAAAAAAAAAAAATGCTGTCATCAAATTATGCTTCTGGCCTTGATGGAGAACCAAACGAGCCCAACTGCTGCAAAAAATGAAAAATTAAAAATAAATTACTGGACAAAATACATGAAAAGGCTGTTTCCATACAATTGGATGTGAGAGGGAGCTTCCGAGTATAAACTGAAAATACAATCCTAAGCTCCCCTCCACAAATTGAACGAGCCCTCTCTTGGCCAATGGGACCCCAGAAAGGTCTTAAAAACTGAGTTCCCAGTCATGACAGGATGGGAGGTCAGACAGGCCTTGTTATACCCCTTTCCTTTTGTGGTTTAGACACAGCTGATGATTATTAATGCTAAAATAGAGATCATAAGACTGACAAAAGACTCTGACAATAAGATACCAAACGAGAAATGAGACCTATGCCACGCCATGGGTCAGGTTCATGACTATGCCAAATGTCACGCTCAGGGTCAGGTTCCAGCCCACGCTGAGGTCCCAAGGGAGTGGGTAGATGAACAGAAAGAACACTCGGAGCTGTAGTCAGGTGAATATGGCTTTATTCAGCAGCAGTTTTCACCAATAGCTTTCTCACATTGTCTGCCCTGTCTGAGCTGCTCAGCCTGGTGACTCCCACACACACAGCTGCACAGCCAGCTCTCCCTTGCCTGCAGGGTTGCCAGTTTAACTCTGTCTCTCTGGGCACAAGTGAGCCAAGTAGTGTCCTGGCTCCCCTCTATCCAGCTGCAAAGATGGACAGCTCTGGCTCTCTCTCTTTCTCTGGGCACCAGCACCTGTACAGTGTCAGCAGGGCAATTATACCTTTTACAGATAACAGTGGCTTCGTGCCAAGAGATGGCCTTCCCATGCTATGGTTCCATGGATGGGATAACAAATAGAGTTATACGCCTGCACTCTAAACTCGCTGAGTCATGCAGGATGTAAACATCCTACTTCAGCCTGTCCTTGACCAAAGCAAAGCCATGTTCCTTACGCCAGGCAAGGGTTGAGTCACTCACCCCTACACTTAAAGAATAAATTCTATTCTAACAGCCACAGGGTTTTTCTTTTGTTCTACCACCTAAATAAGCACTGCTCTCAAGATAAGCAATATTAGAACAATTTGCAGTTCATGCAGATAGGCACGAACTAACTGACCAGCCATAACTACAGCTTTGATTGCACAAGAGACTGATGTCAGGAACTTTTTCTAGACGAGAGACCACCAATCGTGAACTAGTCCGGGTCAGTTTATAGAGGCTGCACACTTAAGTGCTTTCATGTCCTGAAAGGATCTTTTGACCTATAAGGCCTAAATATAATACATTCAAATGTTAAGTTTCCACCTCAAGTGAACGTGGGTTGTATGTTACATGCATGTTTGTTCAATATGCATGCATCAGGACCCCCTTCTTGAATACTCACAGTTCCTCTGATAACCTGTTGAATACGTACATTTGGTCAACGTGTTCAATTTAAACTCCTGACTTACCCCTTTTTCACCCAGAGGACCAGTCTCCGGTCTTTGCTGGAGGCTCTTCCCAGCCTATAGGATGGCCACCCTGCAGGCTGTAACCCGTTATAAGAAATAAACTCTCCTCAGCAGACATGGGGGCTCCCACCTGTAATCCTAGTACTTTGGGAGGCCGATACAGGAGGACTGCTTGAGGCCAAGAGTTCAAGACCAACCCAGCCAACATAGTAAGGTGGGTGGGGTCTAGAAGCAGGGAACCTAAAGCCAATTCATGCTGACTTCCCAGAACTAAACCAGAAGAAAAACCCCAACTTTCCACAACTAAGTAACAAAAGGACCAGAGGCTACTCCCTTTGCAAACTCTACCCCCATTCCCACTTTCCGCAACCTATCAGATTGATTGCAGGCTCTTTGTTTGCACAGAAGTGTAACTTCGGAACTTCACTTTAGCCTCTGATTGGTTGCTTTCCACAACCAATCAGATGTTTGCATAGGGTATAACCTTTGTAACCTCACTTCATCCCCTGGTTGGTTGCTTTCTACAATCAATCACACAGATTGCAAGCCACTACTCCATTTACATGGGGTATAAAGAAGGTGGGCAATGGGAAACCTCTAGAGGGTATTGAAACCCCAGAAAATTCTGTAACCAGGCTCCTGAGCCCCTGTACAAAGGTCCAATCCCACCCTGTGGAGTGTACTTTCATTTTCAATAAATCTCTGCTTTTGTTGCTTAGTTCTTTCCTTGCTGTATTTGTGCATTTTACCCAATTCTTTGTACAAGATAAGAACCTTAATACCCTCCACCAGTAACACTGTCTCTATTATAAAGAGAAAAAGTGAAACCCCATCTCTACTAAAATACAAAAATCAGCCGGGCATGGTGGTGGGCTCCTGTAATCCTAGCTACTTGGGAGGCTGTGGCATAAGAATCCCTTGTATCAGGAGGCAGAGGTTTCAGTGAGCCAAGATCGCGCCACCCCACTCCAGCGTGGGTGAAAGAGAGAGACTTTGTCTAAAAAAGAAAGAAAGAAAGGCCAGGTGCGGTGACTCACGTCTATAATCCCAGCACTTTGGGAGGCTGAGGTGGGTGGATCACAAGGTCAAGAGATCGAGACCATCCTGATCAACATGGTGAAACCCCGTCTCTACTAAAAATACAAAAATTAGCTGGGCATGGTGGCACACGCCTGAAGTCCCAGCTACTCGGGAGGCTGAGGCAGGAGAATTGCCTGAACCCAGGAGGCGGAGGTTGCGGTGAGCCGAGATCGCGCCATTGCACTCCGGCCTGGGTAACAAGAGCAAAACTCCATCTCAAAAGAAAAAAAGAAAAGAAAGAAAGAAAAACAAAACAAAAAAGAAAGTAAGTCTCCTTGCCCAAGTTTGTAGATTGTGTGATTTTTAAGTTAACAAGAGACAACCTGGTCTTCAACGCCGGAGTCCCTGCAAGAATATCATGATGGAAGAATACTCACTCAGGGCAGGCAGATGCGGCAGCGAAAGACAAGTGTTCAGCCTGGGAAAAGCTGAGCTTCAGGTGCCCACAGGACAACCAGGTGACGCCAAGCAGTGGCTGCGGATGTAAAAGGCGCAGGAAGAACACCACGCCTGGGTTTGGAAGTGCACGGGAATAATAAGCCTTGCTCTTCTGTAGCGCGTACTGTTCCCTTTGCCAGAAATTCTTTCCCTCTCCCCCACATTTATCTAGTCTCCTTTGCCTAAAAGACCATTTCAAATGGAGTCATTAGGAGCCAGCTCCTGGACTCCCGCAGGCAAAAAAAGAGCTCTGGCACCCAGCATCTGACTGTGCTAATTGGGGTCGAGTGGAAAGGTTGGGCTGGGAAAAAGCCTGAACTCCTGAGTTAAATCGACCTGGATTCAAATTCCAACTCTGCCACCTACCAACTGTACTGCCCCGAGTCATTCACAACCTCCTGAGCCTCAGAATCCTCTTGAGTGAAACAGAGATAAAACTCATCTCAAAGGGTAATGAACTTAACAAACCAATTCCTAACTGGAGATGCTCAGTGGTGGCAGCTGCGGCGTTTGCACTTTAATTGTTGATGGGCTCCCTCTTTCTCCCGCTTCTAGACTCAGCCTCACTGAGCAGCCCCGACTTCCACAGGCCTCCATGAGTCACACTGGTGCCTGGTGCTGCAGAGCTGGAGGAGGCTGTGGGGAAGGGAGCTCAGCTGGACACCCCAGCAAGGCTCAAGGAAATCCTGAGCATGACTCAGCTGTGACGATCTGAATTCACATTTGTGACTTGTCAGACACACAGGAATGAGGCCAGCATCAGCCTGCCACCTTCTGCCAGGAAGGAGATAACTAACCCGCAACTGTGAGTCACAGAGGCTTTGCTGCATATCCACCTTGGGGATGCACGGGGAGGGAGGGGGCGGGTGATGGGCTGTCCTGAGGTCCAGTAGACATTCCCCAGAGGGACAGGCGTGAAAAGCAAGTTGGGACTGGGCTTGGATGCCGTGGAGAGGGGACATGGCCTCTGCAAGGATCTTCCCAGAAGGGTCCCCTGAAGGCACCACGACGACACGGGCGGCAGGGACGTGCCCCGCTCCGGGCGAGCCTGCTTTCCTGCAGCAACTCCGGAGTTTTAGGGCATTCACTGAAGGGCCCCATGCGGGACGGCTGCCCTGCAAGTTGCTGGAGACCAAAGGACTCAGGACGCGAAGATCGGCAAGCAAAGGTGACCCGCCAACCGGAGAGCCAGTAGCAAGCACCAAAAAAGCGACCCTATGCCCACGCCTGCGCGCTCGGAAGACGCCATGGCAACCGCTGCAGCACCGCCCCCTGGAGCCTGGGCCCGACGCTTAGGGCGTGGCCAGTGAGCTCACAGCCAATACGCGCCGCAGACGCACGGTCACGTGGCTGACCCCTCTTCCGCCTCGGACTGAGGGCTCCTCAAACGCGTTTGCCGTCCCCATGATCCCTAGCGACGGGGGTCTTCTCGCGGGAGCTGCCCAGACCGGCGGCTGGCTTCTCCAGTCGCAGGCAGCCTGCAGGTGTCCGGATTCGTCTCGCCGTGGCCCCGAGGGGGGCTGCGTTCTCAGGCTGTGCCTATCGGAGCTTCCGAGCCTTCATTTCCCGGCTTTTCAGCATCTTTGCCTCCACTCTCCACGTCGTCCTCCCAGGAAACCTCGAAACCCGAGAGTACGTTCCAGCCGGAAATCTGGGGAAATGTGATGAGAGCAGCGCATGCCAGGAACGCGCCAGCTGCTCCCAGATGCATCTCTCCTTCCTGCAACTACCCTGCGGGGCGGGCTTCCTGGCCCCCGCCTTAGAGATGAGGAAATAGGCCCAGATGGTGTTGAAAACCTTGCCCGATGCTGCACAAAGCCAGGCTTTTCCCACCAGGACACGCTACTTGCTACTTCTGAGTGACTGGCCTTGGGCCACACTTGGGGTGTGAGGGGAAGGGCTCAGTTAAGTTCTGTGCACTGGGCCGCGTCCCGGAGGACCCAGCTGCCGAACCCAACCTCGTGTCTTCAGGACAAGACACCCTGCCACCATTGCCTGCCAGAGTCCCCATTCCTGGCACTGCCCTGGGCTCAGAGGAAGGAGGCGGCCTACCAGAGATCTCAGCTGTAATGAGGCTACTCTGGCTGCCAGGAGGCCACTTAAGCACAGAGCTTACCAGGAGTGAAAAATGGGCTCCCTCACATACACCTATCGGAGCCAGCTGAGGAGATACCAAAATTGCCCCAACTATTATTTATTCATGTCGAATGAATGACTCTTCTCTCAGACCCAACAGCAAGAAATAAATGCTGTCTTAGGAGGGGCAAACTAATGGCCAGTCCACCCTTCCTACCATTTAAACCCTCCCTGGAAATGCTTGAAATTCCACTTTTAGCAGTTCTCTGAGATTCAGAATCTTCTTTGTATTCAGTGATAGGTGAAATGCACTTAACCTCTGCATTTCCAATGGGAGAGGAAGGCAGCTAAAGCACTGGGCCCTAAAGAGAGGGAAGTGGAGATTCGAAAAAGGAAAGAAGGGGCCCCATCCTTCTGGAGAGACTCTAAGAGGGGCCACTGGATCCACTTGGTGTATGTCACTAAGGAAGCTCTAAAACCTGATTTGTCCAGTTCAGCAGTCCCCAAGCCTTAGAAGGTTGATTTTCTGCACCTTCTGGGGTTCTGTCCCAAGGACGGCATGAGCCCACCGAATGTCCACAGCCACATGGGGCCACATTCACAGGGATATGAGCAAGGAACCCCAACATGCTCTTCTGGCAACACTTCCCTCTGAGCAGCCTTGTCATCAAGAGATTGACATTTCAAAACTAGGCCTCTCCCAGGACTCACCAGAACCATTTGTTCCCCTTTCCAGGAAGTAAAGCAAAACCACACAGAAAATAACGAGAAAGAGCCATAAGTCAAAGGAAAACAAGTCAATAAATCCGCTATCTGTGGCTCCAAAGAATAGAGGAAGCACCCAAAGTGACACTATTGTTCAACATTATTATTAATATGGGAAAGCCGCTTCTATTTGGACCTGCTTGTATCTCTTCATCTTTGCAGACTCTCACTGATTTCAAAGGAAAGCCGCTGGGTGGGAGCATGGACACTGCAGGAGGGCAGCAGTCATTAAACGTCTGAGAATGAGATCTGACTTTCCTTCCTCACCCTTCTAGAAAAAAGGGCAGATTCAGAAAGCAAAAGCCCCCCATTAAGTTTTGAGAAATGTTATGAAAATGGAATTTGTGGGCCAAAGGAAATTAAATCCATCTTGGGTCCCCACCACTCTTAGTTCTTCTTGCTCAGGGAGTAACAGTACATAGATACCTGATCAGAATCAACCTGATGTGATCCAGGGAAGGCGGAGTAAATCACTCTCTCCCTACAGCAAGTGACCTTATTGGTCCCCCAATAAAGATGTGAAAGAAAGAGCCGGCAGGCATCTGAGGAATCGTGGCCATCATTTCCAGCTATATATAGGGTCTGTACACCAGAACTCCTGGAGGGCCTTTGTTCCCTTTCCCTCTTGCCCTCAGCCCCAAGGGGATGACACATAGTAGGGCTCACTGTCCATGAGTCAGAATATCAGAACCAACAGCGGGTACAGCAGGGGAGAGAGGGCCTTAATGCAAGGAGAGCATGCCACCACCTCATGCCCCAGTCTCTGCACTTGTTATCCACTGTTCCCACCTTTAAGAGGCTGACTTCACCTGGTATTTCTACCAGATCTAAACAATCAGGGATCCAGGCACAAGTTGTCAGGACACAGGAAGTAACCACACAATATTTGTGTAGCACGTTGCAGTCGACAAATCACTTTCACATGATTTTCTCTAAGACTATCATTATATTCCCTAGGTTAAGGATTAGCGCCCTGAGGCACAGTGTTATTGGCTGAAATATTCCTCCAAAAATTTATATGTTTAAGGCCTAACCCCCAGTACCTGATAATGTGACTGTATTTGCAGATAGGGTCTTTAAAAAGATAAGTGAAGTTGGCCGTGGCATTGCACACCCTTTAGTCCCAGCTACTTGGGAGGCTGAGGCAGGAGGCTCACTTGAGCCCAGTAGTTTAAGGCTGCAGTGAGCTGCTACACTCCAGCCTGGACGTCAGAGCAAGACTGACTCTTAACAAATAAGAGTGAAATAAATGAGGTTAAATTAGGTCATAAAGTTCCGCCCTAGTCCAATATGACTAGTGTCATAAGAAGAGATTAGGACACAGACACACACAGGGAAGACCATGTGAGGAGCCAGAGAGAAGATAGCCATCTTCAAGGAAGAGAGTCCTTAGGAAAAACCAACTCTGCCGACACCTTGATCTCAGACGTCTAGCCTCCAGAGCTCTGAAAAAATACTTTCTTGTTGTTTCCCAGGCTGTTGTGTTTTACAGCCGCCCTAGCAAACAATCCACACAGGGTCATAGAACGGAAGCTGCAGGATTACACCCCAATTCACTGATCACAAAAACAATGTTCTTTTCCCTCTAGGCAGCTTGTACCTCTGCATGAACTAGGAAAGGCCCACATTGCTGGAGAAACTGACCTAGGATGGTGCCCCTGGAGTTGCTCAGTGCACAGCACGCACCACTGTACCTGATGGCCTAGAAGGGAAAGCACGTATGGACACCTTCCATGGCACAGGGACACTCAGGCCACTGATGAGGATGAGGTTTCCCAAGCGCCAGACAGCAGTGGACTCTGTGCACGTGGGATGAGATGAGCCAGTGAGGCCTCACAATGTCCAAGCAGCCCCTGCATCAGAAAGGTCAAAACTTTTTTTGACATCTTCAGTGGTACTTGTAATGTATCCTCACAGAGGGGCTGTGTGGCCTGTAGGCAACCCCTACAATCTTCTGACCATTTTAATAGTGTCAGAACTTTGAAATCTACATGTAATATAACGTATTAGGTCTCCTTTTTGCCTGAATAATCTGAGATTTGGATTTAATGTTGATTTTGGTCAACTGGTCCAAATATTACATATCATATTGTAATTAGGTTGCCTAAAAGTATTTGTTTTCAAAAGAATGGTTTTTAAAAACAAGAGCAACAAGCCAAGGGGGTGATGGAGTGGTTACAGTTTGGCCATCATCCTAACATCAGCCTTTTGGTTACACGAAAATCTGTCCCAAACACCTTACATTTTTTTTCAAGTGGTTAAAACAAAACACAGAAGGACTTTCGGGAAATGCAACTGCTTCTGGATGTATCCTTTGAAGAAAAAAATACTATTCTTCATTTTGAAAGCTATTTTTCTAGTAATAAGCAAAGAAAAAAGATAAGGTCATATAAAATGAAAATAATGGGAGGGGTGGAGATAAGACACTAAAGGCTCATGACAAAGTTGTATATAGTACATGGGTAGACAGTGAAAAGCAAGCGGGATGGAGTTGAAAATAATTGTTTATTCTGCTAGCACCAGTCTCTCTGAGAAAACAGATTTTTGTTTGAGAAAAAGACCGTTATGCCAGGCTGGGCACGGTGGCTCACGCCTGTGTAATCCCAGCACTTTGGGAGGCCAAGACAGGTGGATCACTTGAGGTTGGGAGTTTTAGGCCAGCCTAGCCAACATAGTGAAATTCCATCTCTACTTTAAAACATACAAAAATTAGCTCGGCATGGTGGCACATGCCTGTAATCCCAGCTACTGGGGAGACTGAGGCAGGAGAATTGCTGGAACCCGGGAGGCCAAGGTTGCAGTGAGCCAAAATGACACCACTGCACTCCAGCTTGGGCGACAGAGCGAGAGACTTCATCTCAGAAAAAAAAAAAAAGGACTTGTGGATTGATAATTTCCATGATTGCCCACGGTAATATTTCTGGTCTCACATGTTCCTCCAGAATGTTACCATTACCCCTCGCCCTTTAAGAGGTAGTGTCTGTTTCCCATCCCTTTGAAGGTGCCAGGGCCTTCGAGAATAGAATTGGAAGAAAAGAGTACAGCCAGAGTGACACTGTGTGACTGCCAGGGCTGGGTCAAAGGTAATAGGACTCCACTCAGTATTCCCGTGTTTGTGTTCTCCCTGTCTCTCTTCTCTCTCTCAGTGATCAAAACCCACCCAACCACTATGCCGTGAGGTGCCCAGAGGACAAAGTTGGAGGGCTCCAGAGGGAGGGTTCCCAGAGAAGGACAGGGACATGATAAGAGCAAACTGCAGGACAGAGATAAAGGCAGCCAGGAAATTGAAGTATCTCCACTGCAGGAGAAAATGCTCTCCAAAGGACATGAAATGATGGTAGATGGCTGGGCACGGTGGCTCATGCCTGTAATCTCAGCACTTTGGGAGGCTGAGGCAGGTGGATCACCTGAGGTCGGGAGTTCGAGACCAGCCTGACCAACATGGAGAAAC